CACAGCGCCACACCAGGACAGCTCAGCAAAGCCCTACTGGAGGGAGCAGATCTAGTCTGCAACACATGGGGTCACCATGAGTCAGATTTGACTTCATAGCAACGGGTTTGTTTTGTTGTTTTGCTGTTTTGCTTTGCTTCTTCTACCACCCCCATCATAATTTCTATGGGGGAGATCACTCCCATTGTGGTTCATGTCTGAGGTTGACGATTCAGGTCAGAGCATTAGATCAGAGCCAGTAGGTACTTCTCTGGCATCAGATGGACTTTGGTGAGGTTTTACAGTCACAGCTATGGGGTGACTCTTGGAGTGCTACAGAATACTGTGAAACAAAGGTTTATCAAGGCCTATTACACATCTCAGAAATCACTTAGTTTTTGAGCACTCTGCTTGAATGTGCAGTTTAGGATTATCATTCCCGTTTTCTAGATGAGAAAAGTGAGGCCCAAAGTTACATGGTAATGAATGGTGGAACTGGGCACTAACTGGTTCTGGTTTGTTTTACGCCCTCAACTGATAAACAACACAGTGTTTACAGGACACCAAGGTCCTGGGTAGGGGAGGGAATGAATTAAACTTCCCCACAGGTTCTTGTCCTCCCTTAATGCTTGTCTGGAAGGTGGTTAAATTCCTTTTTAATGGAGAATTTAAGTTCATCTAATTCTAAAATGATGGGCAGGTCTGGGATTCACCTATCTGCATCGTTTCCTCTCAGATTCCCTCTGTTCCTCTACAGCCTAATGATTTTATTGGCACCGTGGCATCAGCAATGGGCTCAAGTGTAGCAGCAGTTGTGAGGTTGGCGCAGGACCAGGCAGTGTTTTGTTCTGTTGTGCATAGAGTCGCTAGGGTCGGAACCGACTCCACAGCACCTAACAACAACAATTTCATTGCTGCGTATCCAGTCCTTAGATATTTTTTCACACTATTAAGAGCTCAGAAGCCCTAGTGGTACTGAGTGGTTCAAATGTTCGACTGCTAACCTCAAAGTCCTGGCAGTTTGAATCCAGCAGACACTCAGCAGAAAAATCTCCAGCAATCCGCTTTGCTAGAGATTTACAGCATGGGAAAGCCTATGGGGTAGTTCTACTTTCTCCTACAGGGCTGCGACGAGTGCAAATGGACTTGAGAGCAGTGGATTTGGATGCGTATGGTCAGCATACACACTTTCTATGAAATTATCTCGGAAAGACCCTGTCACAGAGCAAACTTCTCTTGTCCTAAAGGAACCTGCTTAAGCCACACATCAGGAGACCAGAGCCTCTATATTTTGCTTGTGGGCACAGTGAAAAGTTTATTTTATGCATGTTAAATCCTGCATGCAAAACAACATATCTGGTCATATGGCTTTCATTAGCTCCCAATTTTGCACATTTTATCCAACTTGTCATGAGAATCCGGCTTATGCTTCAACTGTACGCCTTCAAACAAACCTTTGCCACCATTTTTGTCTGAGGAGTCCTTTCTCCTGTGTTATTTCCTAGGCCTGCCAACAATCCCCCACCCCACTAAAAACCACACCAAAAAAATAAACAGGCCAACCCCCCCTCCAAAAATACAACAACAAAAAAACCCCAAAAAACCCACAACCCCAAACAACAACAAAACAAAACAAACTCATTTTACCCTCATTTCAAGGAGTGTTAACCATTTTTTAGAATCTCACGTTATATTTATAACACATTTGAAATCCTAGGACTTGAAGGTCTAATAACAAAGGATTGATCACCGAGCTTGATCTCTTCTTTCCTAGTTAGTAGCCTAAAAGTCTAAAAACCTAGGCAGGATTCTTCTGAAAGTTCAGTTGCAAAGAATGACCATTTCCAGAGTTGATCAATGATTTATGAATCAGGCATTCGGTTTCAAGATGTAAAATAATAGTGGAAGTCAGGGGAGGAGGAGGGCCCATCATCCTATGGGTGTGTCTATTTTCCTGATTCATCCTGAAGGAAGGATCTATTTTAAAAGATAAAATGAGAATCTTGTAAGAAATAAGAAACTACTTTGTAAAGAGAGGCAACTTCATGAAGTAACAGATGTTTCATGTAAAGACATAAAACTGAACCTGAATATAATGAGACATGTGAGTAGGAGAGCAGTAAAAGGAAAGTTAGAAGTTGGCCATTCAGGCAGCTGTAGCTGCCCGATTTCACTATTTTCTCAAAGGTAGTATAGTCACAGCCAGGAGATTCACTGGCTCCGTGTATCATCCAGCAGTGTCACACGCAGCCAAGCAGGGCTTTCCATTAGATAATGAATTATGAAATATGTCTCACTCTGGAAAAACCAGTCATCTGCTGATGTCATGCTGATTCTAACCAATCCCCAACAAAGCCCCAGCCCTCCTCTGTTCGAGTGGTACCAATGTGTGAGTGTACAAATAAGTAGTACAGTATAAAACTCCCCAGTGCCAATACCATGAAGCAGGACTCAGACAGCGCTGACCACATGATACAAGAGTCTGGTGAGAGAGAGGGGACCAGAAAGGTAATGCTTTTTAAACTCTTGCTTCTGAGCTATTTCCACATTCATAATCAGAAGGGTTAGAAGGGGTTTTACAACTTATTGGCACGTCTATGTGAGTTAAGATTTGTACCTTCTTTATATTCATCAGGCAGCCTAATGCAGCATTTACTAGTCGTAGAGCATGCAAATAGATTGTGTGTTTATGCAAACCCACTCAGCACGTATATACAAGTACATATGCCAAAGAGAAAACTATTTTTAAGAGTTACATTAACAAACAATAAATTCAGGGAACACACACATACTCACTCACATATAGAGAGAAACCAAATATTGATAAGTTGTACTGAGAGCTACTACTGGGACTTTTAAGTTGTTCTGAGTCATTAAGCTTTAAGTTCTATTTCAGAGTCTCTTGTAAATTTTAATTGGACTACAAAATGCTCTGGGTAGTGTATATGTGACTCCAAATAGGTAGATTATGTTCACTACTATAGTACAAAGATGCTTTATTAAACCAGCATAATGCAAATGCTCCATCGATTCTTTTTCACTCTCTCCCACCCAAACTGGAGGCATTTTAGGCAATGTTGACAAAGTCTTAGCAGTCATTGGCTTTCCTGGAGCTGTAATCCCAAAGGTGATAGGTACCTGGTAGCATCAAAAGTCTTACCAAGAGTTGTTTTAGGAGAGAGGGGCAATGTATACAGTTCCAGAAAAGCATTGCTACCTGTGCCAACTGGACTGGCATTTTCTCTTGATGCCACAGTGATCTCACCCTGCTCCCCTAGTACACAGATCTTATGTTAGTAGCAATGATAGTCATTCCTTTGTATTTTCACCCAAACTCTATATGTTTGGCTCTAATGCTCTGAACACACTAGGTGCCAGATATAAGCTGACTGTATCTACAGAAATGAGAGGGCTTATGTGTGGGTAAGAAACTGAGAGGGAAGGAAAGCTTTAACAGATGGACCTCTTAAAGATACTTCTGCAAGATAAAAGCAATAAGACAGAAAATGAAAAATAGAGTGTGTGTGTGTGTGTGTGTTTATCACACACACACACACACACACACACACACACACCAAAAACTCCAGAAAGGCATTGTTTAGAAATTCACATTTTTCTTTTCCTGTGGATACTAAAATCCATGATCCATGGTGATTTCATCTGTACTGTTGTTCCTTTGAGGCAGAAAGCAGCAGAGTAGGCGCCTACCCATGAATACTGGTGGGGACAGGGGTGGTGGTGGTGGTGGGGGGACACACTAAAACAAACTACAAAGCAAAGAAAGTGATTTGCCAGAGAGGCTTTTCCCCTAGGGTCAGTTCTTCAAGTCAGAGGAGTGTACAGTTGGTATAAAATGATGTGGGAAAGGCCTAATGCATTCTGCATTTTATCTGTAAAGTCAAGACTAGTAGTGGTAGGCTGTAATTTGTGAGTGTGAATGAGCTCAGGGAAGAAGAGGGCTGAGGAAAATAGTAGCTTCATAGGACGTGGCATGTCAAATGCTGCCTGCCATTGGCATTTTTCAATGTGCAGTGGGGACAAGTATAGTGTATTCTATGGCCCCAAACCAAAGTTCTATTGCATGTTCCCCTCAGTTCACTAGCCAGTATTGATAACCCTAGACATTTTAATATGAATGAATGGGGGAAAAAGAACATCTCTCAGATTCATTCAGGGCAGAACTGTTGGTCAAAGCTGCTATGTTTGCGCCTTAGCCTCTCTTTCCCTGACCTCCACTACCCATCAGCCCTTGCCTCCTGGCCCCCTTATCCCCACCTTGTGGGCCAGGTGGGCTTCTTCTCACCTCATACTGCCATTAGGTAGTGTGGAGGAGAGCTGGGGATATACTTTTGTCAAGCCAGTCACCCTGTTTACTAACAACTGAGTCCTATTCTTTCTTTCTTTCCTCTGCTAAAAGAGGAAGAAGGTGAAGCCAGGGGACTGACCAGAGAAAGAAAAAAGAAAGAAGTGGAACAAAATTAGGAGAATGCCTTTAGAAGGGAAAGTAGAAGCCCCGGAGAGGAGAATGGTGATATTTGAAGAGAGGTGTGTGTGAGGGAGCAGCGAGCAGAAGGAAGGCAGCCTGTCAGAAACGGGCTGTCCCTCCCTCCCTCCCTCCCTCCCTCCCTCATCGCAGCCTGAACTCGCAGACAAACTCCCTCCCCCTCCCATTCACTCACTCACTCAGGGCCAATCGTTCTCTGTCTCTCTTTCTCTCTTTCTCCTTTTCCTCTCTCCCTTCCTCTCTCT